CCAGGAAATGGTGACATGACCATGGAAGCTGCCAGGAAATGGTGACATGACCATGGAAGCTACCAGGAAAAGGTGACATGACCATGGAAGCTACCAGGAAGTGGTAACATGACCATGGAAGCTAACAGGAAGTGGTGACATGACCATGGAAGCTAACAGGAAGTGGTGACATGACCATGGAAGCTAACAGGAAGTGGTGACATGACTTTGGAAGCTAACAGGAAGTGGTGACATGACTTTGGAAGCTAACAGGAAGTGGTGACATGACTTTGGAAGCTAACAGGAAGTGGTGACATGACTTTGGAAGCTAACAGGAAGTGGTGACATGACTTTGGAAGCTAACAGGAAGTGGTGACATGACTTTGGAAGCTAACAGGAAGTGGTGACATGACTTTGGAAGCTAACAGGAAGTGGTGACATGACTTTGGAAGCTAACAGGAAGTGGTGACATGACTTTGGAAGCTAACAGGAAGTGGTGACATGACTTTGGAAGCTAACAGGAAGTGGTGACATGACTTTGGAAGCTAACAGGAAGTGGTGACATGACTTTGGAAGCTAACAGGAAGTGGTGACATGACTTTGGAAGCTAACAGGAAGTGGTGACATGACTTTGGAAGCTAACAGGAAGTGGTGACATGACTTTGGAAGCTAACAGGAAGTGGTGACATGACTTTGGAAGCTAACAGGAAGTGGTGACATGACTTTGGCATCTAACAGGAAGTGGTGACATGACTTTGGAAGCTAACAGGAAGTGGTGACATGACTTTGGCATCCTCCTTTATTTACAAGTATAGCTTTGGAATAGGAATTTGACTTTAAAATGGCTTCCTGCATTAGACCTCCAAGGTAGAGGCCAAAATGTTCTTTTCTAGCTTTGGAGGGGATGGGGGAAGGATTAGAACTCTTGTCTGGTGGTTTGGCTGCTACCCAACTGAGAGGTGTAACATCACTTCCTGTCCTGGTGACAACACTCATCAGACAGGAAGTGAGAGAAGTCTGAAAAAGGGATCTAGACAAAAATAAAAACCTGGCAGTCATTCTAGCCTTTCCCAACTCTACTAAAGGAAGGTAGGGATGCACCGAAATTAAATATTCAAACCCAAATTTTAAAATTTCTCAGGCTGAAACTGAAAATTACTTTTTTCCCCCCCTGTCTGAGGTGCTGTTGAATTGTTACCCCCACTTCCTGTTTGGTAAAACCGTCATCAGCAGGACAGGAAGTGAGGGGAGATCTCTCGTACTGAAACCTGGATAGCAGTTAAATAAACTGACTGGAGTTAAAGGAGAACTATGGGGTAAGTGGTTTTCCCCCATAATTCTCTTTAGAGTCACGGGAGGACTCTAACCTCCTCCTGTGACCCAAAGCTCATTATACCGTGTTTCCCCGAAAATAAGACACTGTCTTATATTTTTTTTGGCTCAAAAAAGACCTCTAGGTCTTATTTTCGGGGTAGGTCTTATTTTGTTTTTTATTTTAATGTACAACAATCCAAACGTATTCATGTACAACAGTCTACATGTATTCATGTACAAAAATAGGGTGATCAGGGCAATTTGCTAACCAATCGTTGGCCAGAATGAGCGAAGAGCGCTTTCACTATCGATTCCTCACAGGTGGAGTGCATTTGGTATCACTCCGCCTGTGACAGGAGGCGGCGCTATAGAGGAAGCATTGGCTTATGCAGCTCTGCTCCCTCCGCTGCCGCCTCGCTTCCTCTAGCGCTGGCTTCATTGGCACCGCTGATTCTCTCCCGCGGCTCTTCAAGTTCCCCCTTATGCCACCACCGTCCCTGGGAATGGTCACAACTAGGTCTTATTTTCGGGGTAGGTCTTATTTTCGGGGAAACAGGGTATAGCGGGCTATTGCCTGCAATATACGGAGAGACAGTCGGGACGGATCGCGACAATACTGTCTGGATCCACCCAGCTGCGTGAATGACAGCGGGCTCTGCCTATCAAAAGGCAGAGCCAGCTGTGCCCGCCCCCTCCCCGTCCGTTCCTCCAGTCAACGCTGGAGGATCGGAGAGGGGAGGGGGGAATGCATGCGGGGAGCCGTGACTGACTGTCACCGCTCACTGCAGGGAGACGATCGGGAAGTGAGCTGATCGGCGGCATGTTTCTGCTCACTTCCCGATCTATGGAGCCGATCGGTGATGGCTTCTTTGTCACACGTCGGCTCTAACTATGAGGATGAGTGGAAATCACTCACCTCATAGTTCTCCTTTTAAGTGCTTATTTTGCCTGGGGAGCTAAAGTAACAGATATACTCACCTGAACCGTGATCCCAGCTGGCTGCTAGACCTGTCCCTTCAGGCCTCACTCCCCCTCGGCTCCAGCGGTCTAAGGTTCTGTGAGTCATCACGTCCTATTCAGTGTGTAGGACACTGAGGGACATACCATCACTGGAGTAGAGGGGGAGTTCTATACTCCGGTGTCAGTAAAGTGAAAAGAAACAGCTACAAATAATCAGCATTTTGCAGTGTCAGTAAATGTTGCGATGGTCATCGGAGCCCCCGGATGAAGCCCCCCGCAGCCCTTTCTGTGGTGGTGTAAGCAGGAATCATTCATCTCCCGTGCTCCGAGGCCTGTGAGCCGGATTACAATAATGAGGCCTTTATTCGCCGCTCTCCTCCCCCCCCATTACACAGGGTGATCTATTTCTTTGTCATTCAGCCCGCGTCTCCTTTCCAAGTGGGTCTGCATGAGTCCAGCCGGGTTCTTGGCTGTCGTAGTGTGTGTGTGTGAGAGAAGAGAGCGGCCCTGCAGGCTTTGTACACGTCGCAGCTTTCCCCAGCAAATGACCCCCTTTTTTTTCTCTTTTCCTGGAAGCCGGGCCGTCATGTGATACAACAAGGCACCGTGAACGCGCGGCCCTCTGTAGCGCCTCTCATGCATGACACGGGCTCGTAGCATCTGGTACAGTTCAATCATAAAACCGGTTCTCCTGGTTCCGTCTCTAGTTTGGGAGGCACATCATCAGCGGCGTGTTTTTCTTCCTCGCCGTGGTGCGGAGTAGCTGCGCGCAGAGATGGCCTGTAATTGGTGTTTTTTCTTTATTGGTAGTTTGTTCTTTATAATCTTATCTCGTTACCTGCCCTGTAATTTGGAGTGACGGCTCCGACCCCCCCGCCGGTTCCATTGCTGTCTGTACAGTAACACATGTGGGTGAAACCTTTCATTCCGCAGAGTCCCTTAGTATTGGGTTGCACCCTGTAATCAGCAAGACAAACAGATGAGCAAATGTTTAAAAGCCCGCTCTGGGCTGCTGGGAAATCTACCCAGGAAGTGCCCAACCCCCCCCCCTGTACGGGTCACATGCAGGTTTGGTTGTGGGGCAAATAATAAGTACAAATTCGTACGTTAAGGCCGGTCATACGTTAGGAGAGGGTTAGGGGAACTCCGGCCCCCCAGCTGTGGTGGCACTACAAGTCCCATAGGGCATTGCAAGATTCTCACAGCTACATTCAGACATTCACAGCACGGATGGGGGAATCCCCTCTCTCTGGGCTATTGTATTGTGACAGCGCCCGGTGTCAGCATTCCAGAACAGCGGCTGCAGCTGATTGGCTGGCTATGGGGCTCTTCGGACCGACTCCTTTTGGGAAAAGTCAATTGGAAATTTGACTTTTGTCAAATAGGAAGTCCTGATTCGGCCAAAATGTGACCATTGCATGGGCAGGTTAAAGGAGAACTATGACGGGGGGGAGGGCGGGGGGGGCGGGTCTGCCTCTAGATAGGGATCCGCTTCAGCTGCGGCGTCTCAGTATACCACGAACTACAGCTCGCGGTATACGGAGCTTAGGGTGACGGGAGGACGCTAGTTTGTGTCCTCCGGTTACCCTAAGGAGAACTATGGGGAAAAGACCTAACTCCATAGTTCTCCTTTTAAGAAGGCCATGTATGGAGTGAATTTTGGACAGTACGCAATGAACCTGCATGGCTGGACCTGTCAGCTGCCTCCCACCCAACATCCTTCAATCTGAAAAAGCGAAGGAGCTGGGGAGAAATGTTTTGGCTGAATAACTGCAGCCAATCAGCTGCAAGGACAGTTTTGGTATTCTGACAGCCTACGCATTCACCACAGTCGAAATACAATAGCCAGGTGGTGGGGTTGGGAGGGATTGGGGGATTCACCCAGCCATGCTGTTGGCATACATGGGGGGGGAATCTAGCGTTTTTGTGATCATGAGAAAAGTTTAAGTGTTCAAAAATGTTTAAAGTAAAATAAAACAAAAATAAATTAAATAAATATAAAAATAAGTAAAATTTAAAGTTAAATAAAAATTTTTTCAAGTCCCCCAACCCCTGCGTACATGTGTATCTGAATGTAAACACATGCGTCGGGTGCACCTACGCATATAAACACTGGTTGTGTCACACAGTGTTAGCAATAATTCCCGGGCCATTATCCCCAGTTAAGTCTAAAGGCTCATGCTGAGGGGCATGCACGTCTGTTGTGTGGGCGCAGACAGTACGCATCCAAGTGCGGGCACCTGGAGCCACACAGATGTGCAGTTTCAGGTGACCATGTGACCGCATGTTATGGCGTGCAGCCCCGTCCTCCCATAGGGAAGAACAGACTGCTGCGCACAACTACACGCAGCTCCTCTCCCTCCCGGGATGTTATATACAGCGTGCACGCCCGTCCGCAAGAGCGCACAATGTCTGAGGCTGGACATGTTTGGTATCTATGTAATCGGCATTTACCAAATAATTGGTTGCTGTTGTGTTTGTGTGCAATTAAATTGAACACATTTTTACTAACAATATGGTTGCCATAATCTGTTCCACTAATAAAATGTCCCCCTTTTCATGCGCCGGCGTCTCTGCTTTTAGAAAGTTGATAATTTTTGGTGGTTTCACCAATCTTCAGGCCTAAAATGTGCATTTTAATGTGTAAAACGTTCCTGGCAGAGAAGGAGTTAATGATGTGACGGAAATGTCTTTTGTGTTTTGTCACATTTGTACTCAGTATGTTTGTATTTTATCTTCTCTTTCAGCCCACAACCCTCCCTCAGGGGACGATCAACATGAACCAGTGTACGGACGTGATCGAGGCCGAGAGCCGCACTGGGCAGAAGTACTCTCTCTGCATCCTCACCCCCGAGGAGCACTTCATCCGGGCCGAGAACAAGGAGATCATTAATGGGTGAGTCTCTCTTCTCACTGGATTGCATTTCTTTGGCTCTGTAGCTCTCTGACACTGTGTGATAGGGGTAGGCAACCTCGGCACTCCAGCAGTGGTGAAACTACACATCCCATCATGCCTGTGGCTGTCAGTCTTGCAATGCTTCATGGGATTTGTAGTTCCACAGCAGCTGGTTGCCCACCCCTGCCGAAAGAGCTCTTTCTTCATTACTGACCTACTGTCATTACTATATTGATGAAGGGGGGGAGAACCAGGGAAGGCCTGATATTTGGAGCGGTGCCGAGGTCTGCGCCACCATTTTACAGCTTTGAAGTTTATGCAAACCTGAAGAATGAGGATCAGCATGACAGCCAGTCAGCCGGCCTTTTCAGAAGGAGGTTTCAGCAGCAGCCAGCCTCTATAATTCTTTCACGTCGGGTTCCCTTTAAGAAGCAGAGAAGCGGTGAATCCTCCAGGTGTGTTAGGTTGGCCCAACCTGAACCTGGGAGCCGAAATCCTACAATAGGGACATTGTACCTCCTGCTTTGTTCCGGGGAGACACCCAGAGAGATCAGTAGACGCTGTGACAGCCGGCCCTGGCGGCAGCTTCTGTCATCTTCCTCAGTCTGTACTTCATATGGACGCTCCGTCCTCACTTTCTGCATCTTCACTGTGTCTGCACTTTCCTTGTCATGTCTCCGGTCCATCTGTGAAGAAACGTCCCTTTTCATCTCAAAGGAAAAACTGTCATCGTTTCGTATTATTTTATCCTGAATCATCCAATCAGTGCTCACGCCTCAATAGCCCTGTTTTGTACTTCTATGGCGCGGCCATTTTTGTTCATTACCCTGTGCAGTCTCTGCTTCCTCCTCAGTAGTGCTGCAGAGTGACTGCACTTCACTGCTCCTCTCAGTCCAGTTCCATGGGTCAGTGTGACCTCTGTCCCTAAAAGGCCTATGAAGCTTCTCGGGAGTCCTTACACGGAATCACTATGCATTGTGGTGCGCTGTAACGTAGGTGTGTTTGGGGAAAGTGCGTTGTGGTGTCTTTACCGCAGTGCAAACTGTGACTCGGCCTTTGAGGTTGTAGGAAACGTAATCCGTTCTGTGTCTTCAGTCAGGTTGTCTGGAGTCGGGATCTCCCTTTAACTGTCGTTCCACTCATGGCCTCGTCGGCCCATGTAAATTTCCTTCACACGCTCCTTCTCCTCGGAGTGCCCTGGAGTTCATTGGAGAGGCAGCGCGCTCAGTGCTCGCTTCATCACAAGCCGAAATATATCACACGCAAATTCTTCTGGTTCTTTCATGAAGTCGGAGGGATTACAAGTGCCAGAGGGGAGCTCCTTATTACCTATGATTATTTTGTTGGCTAAAAAATGTTTTTTGTAATTATGTAATAATGCCCAGAAGTAATTTCTGTTACTTGTGTGCCATTGGCTGATCTTAACCACTTTGCTTAAAATAGCCTTGTGCTAATTGGCTCAGCTGAATGAC